GAAGGATCCAGTCTAGGTAGACCGCGTCCTTGGAGGACACGTCCTAGGTTTTCGAACAGAGCTCCTGTCTCCGGCAATCTATGGGCGAGAGGTGGGGTACAGTACACCCTTGACAGGTCGCCAGTCTGTAGCAGGGCAACTCAGAGATGCATTGAAACATGTACATTTAAAATCAATAAAGGGGGAAAGTCTTGTCTGAAAATCTGATCCATAACTTGCAATGTTTTCCAGCCCACTGTCTTGGTCTATGCCATAGTCAGTGTTTTTCCATAAAAGAACCTGACTCCAGCATATTGATCATTTCATGATATATATATATATAATTTTAAAAAAGCAAGATCAGGCACATGTTGAAACAGAATATTTTATTCTATACTTACAATTCATTACAGACTCTGGCATGTTTTTACCTGATGTTTTTACCTGAACAAATGCATACACATAGCAACACAGCAACATAACATAAGCTATTAATCGACTCTGCTAAGTGCGTAACCTTATTGAAATGGCACAAAAAAAACTTTGAAGAGCCAGATGCCACAAAAGAATACTGTGTTAAAAAGCATCTTAAATATTGTGGAGAGGGGAAGGTGTGATAAATGACGTGGAAATGGGGTGAAGACAGTTACCAGAATATATGGCAGCAGATAGGTAAAAAAAAAAGATAGAAAACACATAGAAATTTAAAATAAAAAAAAAGCTTGTGTAAAGTAAAATACATAACACATGATGAAATATTTGTTCTGACAGTAATATGTTGAAATTGACAGAACTTACCCGGAAACAATGTATTTACTGATTAAATTTTTATGATTTTATTAGACATTATAGAGCCAAAAAATTCAGCAAAACCCAAATTTATTGAGCAGATTCCGTGATCAAATTAGATTTGCCAAATTTATATCATTTGAATAAAGACATTGATTATGCAAAGAATGATCCGCATTAATTCGGAGAGACTTAAATATTTCTAGAGAGAAGATTCTACACCTCAGTTTTTGGTTTGCCTAATATGAGCGACATGCAGATCATTTTCCTTTTTTTTTTCAAAGTACATCAAGAACTACTGAAATTATTTTCAGGTTACATGTAAATAGGTTAATTAATTCTGTGAAAAAGGAATTACTTTAGGGTTAGGATTCATTCAGTGATAACAACCTACTGAGCATACTTGTAGGAAGGAGGCAGAATCTGAGGCTATCCAATGGAACCGAGGTGACCTACTCAGAGTTGATTAAACTCTGAGTAAATAAATCCAGAGTTAATGATTTCAGTCTGAGTTTGTTAAACCTGCTTTGTGAAATGGACCCCTGATCCCTGAAATTAGGGATTATGATTTTTCAGTAGTTGTGAGTAAAGTGGGGATATTCTATAAATTTCTGGTCAACAGATGTTATAATTGGGTTTGTTTTGTTTTTAATTTTTTATTTTTTGGTTTCTTTCTTTGATCGACAACAAAACAGCATTTAATTTAGAACAAATACAAATTATTGTCTATGTCCATTGGTTCCAAAGCTCTGTGGTGTTGACATAAATATCTTCTGGCATGTCCGTTACCTAAAATAAACAATCATTTATAAACAGAACAAATAATATAAAATAAAAAAAGAAAAGATAAGAATAAATCAAAGTAAAATTAAAGTACCTCTTTTGCTCCAACTGTGTTGATTTCAGGGGCATGTTGGATCTTCTGAAACCTGAAAACATATATATACATACAGTGTGTTTTTACATGTATGACAAAAGAACACCACAGAAAAAGTCAGTGTTTTCAGAAAGCAAGAAAATCTCCTACAGATGCTGTAGTTAAGAGCTGAAAAAACTAGATGTTTAGAGGGTTCATAGGATGACGTGATGATAATACAGGGTAGTCATCTTGATTTACACTTACGGTTGTGTTGTTGCTGTTTTACTTACAAATATACATCATTAAGTATAGCCATAAAGGGAAAATGTAACCCTTCTCTCTTGACCTGCTCACTCACCTGATTATTAACACCAAGACACATACTATGACAAGTAGGATGGCAATTGTAGTAGTAAACACAATCAACAGCTGTTTATCTGAAAAAAAGAAAAAAGAAAATCGAATAGAAAGTTTCAGATGTTATCATGGTGAAATTTCAACAAAAAAACAAATGATTTGTTGTCATTTGGCATATTAGTTAAGCGGCCATGTTTAGGTAAATTTAACCCTAACATTTGCAGGTAAATCCAGCTATGTCATCCTTTAAAAAAATGAAAACAGTGGTTTTAAATGATGTACGCCCCCTTTAAAAACACAGTTGGATAAAGAAATAGTCAACTGCAATAAATCGCATTACAACAATATAAATAATAAGCTTGTTTGAGTCACTTAAACCACGACTTTTACACAATAAGTGTAATTATTCTAAGCTAAACTGGTAATTTTATGGTTTAAACATTACTAGGAATACATGTAAAAAAAATAATTCTAAAAAATTTTCATTTATTTAGTCAAATTTTCAACTTTATTTTCATTATTTGCTTTTGTCAAATATATTTATTCCTGACATTATCTGTCATCTGCACTCTCTGACAAATCATCTCTTCTTGCCAAAAAAACAGCCTTTTGAGTTTTTTAGTTGCTCTATCTCTGCTGAAACACAGCAGTAAAACAAACTAATTGGCCCGCGCTGGTCTCACTTTATAAAGACCTTGTACAGTTTGAGGCTTTATAGAGTATCGCCTTGTGAAACATTTTGGAATAATTTCTTAGGCCCATATTATAATAATTATCAAACTTTTCAAGGTTCTTTGGCACCTTTTCTCTCTGAAACAGGGGATCCTCAGTAGTATTATTTCAATCCAAATGTAAGGTATTACTTTCACAAATGTTGAAATACATTAAACACATGGTTACAATGGGTGAAAATATCTTTGCGAAGCGTTCTGTAATAGTAAACTCCAGAAACCACGGCAATAGTTCACCACAAGATGACTGTTCTGACCGAATGGACATTTTTTCCTCTCTCGCCTGAGTCTCTTGAGGAAATCCTCCAGGCTGTCTGGTCACTGTGAGTCAAATTTTTAAAGATCTTTAGCTAATAAGCACTGAGCAGCCAGCTTCACAACCCTTTGCAGGGGGGTTTAACCTCCCCAGTATTCAATGAGAAAATGTCACTGCTTTGTATAATGGTTAACAGATAGCCTATTACTTACCACTGGACATGGACTGACCTTGAGTTTTTAAGAGATCAACAAGAAATTCTTTAGAAGCTAATCCCAAATGGTTAAAGCTGATACAGATCAAGGAGGAACGATTTTTGCTCTGTGTTTTGTCCAAAATGGCGATGCTCCTCAGATATGTCTTATTCAGAGGGACGGTGATAATAGGAACTTTGCTAGATTGATTGATGGGTTTTCCATCCAAAAGCCATTGTATCATGGGAATATTACTCAAAGTTTCACAGGTACAGTTGATCTGACTTTCAGTTTCAGTACAGTTCGATGTAGGCAGGAGCAATGGTGTAACTGTAAAAAAAGCAAAGAATTTCACTTGAGCATATTAGAATTGAAAAAACATAGTTAACATGTCATAAACTGTATACATCTTTCATCATGAACTATATTTGCACTCTTTTACACCCTCTCCTTGACGATCTACACCTTTCAGTTCATCTTCCTTTTTTCTGTGTGCCTGTATGACTGCAGTTTTTGAATTTCTGGTTTCGTCATTAAATCTTCTTTTACAATAGCAGCACCTCGAAGGTCTCCTCATCATTTTTCCTTCATCTCTGCAAACCACAACAGTGGGACCAGTATAAAATCCTCTGACAGCTAAATTTATGGCTCCATCTCCATGGCATGGGGAATGAGAGTCAGCTGACTCTTCAAAAGACGGCTTCCTTTAGTGGCTGTTGTGCCCTATGGTGCGGCCAGAAATTAAACTTAAACATTTGTTAATGTAATAAGTGATGTTTGGATTTGATTAACACCACTGAGCCTCCCTCGTTTCAGAGAGCAGCCGCCGCCACTGTTAAAAGGGAACAGTGAATTGGCATATCTTGCAAACATCTAAGTCTCAAATTTAAGATTTTAGATATATTTATCAGTTCTAACATTAAGATATAAGATATAGATTTTGATATACATTTAAGATTTAGAAATATAACATTCATATAAAAATGTAGAAATTCATACACAGAATGTAGAAATAGGTTTAACAAATAAATTTAGATATATTATGTAGATATGTATTTAACGTTTATATCTAGAGTTTGCCACTATATGTCAGAGAAAATGCCATACATTTAAAGAAACAGTAGGAAATAACAGAAATGTAGCATGAAAATTTTTTTTGCACGTTTTTTTTTTTTTTATATTCAGAGCACTATAATATTTTGTGAGCATTGAATACCTGTCTAGGTGCAACATAAGAGGCAGCAAATCTTAAAATAATATTAGAATCATCTTTTTTTATAAGCAGACCCACAAACAGCAAATAGAAAATAACCACATTTTTAGAAGCCTGATTTTCCTTGTTTATTGATCCTTTAATAAATATGTAATATTTTAGAATTTGTTTTTTATTTGGCTCTAAACCATTATCATCAAAAAACCAAGAAATAAATGCTTGAAATGTTTCTCTCTGAATAGTGAATCTCTATTAAATCTTTTCTATAATGCAGAAAAAATCAAGGTCTAATAACTTTAATTACTTAGTCAAATCAACTATAATTTAATTGGAATTCAAAATATATGAATTAATTAACTTACACAAAATATTTCCCGTTATTTTTTTCTCAGTTGAGACAGAGGTTCCATTTTGTGCCTTGTAGACAGCCGTGCAAGAGATGTTCTGATGATGGCGGGAAGCAGTGAAATTAAGGACAGAAATCTTAAACATAGTTTTGTTCTTGTTTTCCCGCAGTGTCTCCTGAATGGAACCCAATATAGGGATCCATGTCAATGTTGGAGGATGAAATGGACAGAGATTTGGAGCAGAGCACGTCAGATTCACTGACTCTCCCTCAGTGACCTCCAGGACAGAAGGAGTCAAAGTGGGCGGGGGAAAGTGTTCTGTGAAGACATGTCATTAAAAAAGCATTTTCAGCTTCTCCTTGCGGTGTGGAAAATTTATACTATATAATGCAAATTATTATTTTTAAACAATTAACAAAATTACCTTTGACCTGGAAATGTAAGCCTGATTTTTTATAACTGTACTTGAGATCGTTATTGCAATCCAGTCTAAAGTAGTAAATGTTGGAGGTTTCAGGTTTCATAACCTTAAACTCAGTGGTGCAGTTTTTTTCTTGCAACTTTCCTATTATTTTGGTTTTATTCACAAGTGCAAGGTTATTATTGTCAACCCAGCTTCTTACACATTTGTCAGTGAAATCCTTTTTATAGTTATCCTCAAAATCAAAAGAGCAGGGAATAGTCACAAAACATCCTCTCAAAACCTCCACAGTCGATTGCAAAGAGGCCTCAAATTTGCTACAAATGGCATCTGAAAGACAAAAACAAAACAGATTTTGTAGAGGAAATTTGAACAGTTTACTAAGGTAGACATTTGCTTTCATTAACCTGGTGGTTTCCTCTCAACTGGATTACCATTTCAATTTCCAGATAACTAGAGGACAATACATTTTTGCTTCAGATATATTTATTAAACATATTTATTGATTTTCTGCGTTTTTTTCTTCATTAAAGATAACAATGGAGTCAGAGTATCATGATACAGCAGTTTTTAATTCAAATGTAAATGTTCTGCTCACCTTTAAGTAGACAGACAGTGAGAAACAGAAGCAGCTTTCCTGTCATCTTTGTCATAAGAAAGGTTCCCACACTGTTTCTTTATGAAAATAAAAAACACAAAACTAACAATTAGAAAATGTTATCACTGAATGCACATATTAATTAGGATCAAACTTGTATAGTAATATCATGGAATACATTTTAAAAAAATAGTCTGTAACTAAATCTATACAATCAGTGAAGGGTGGTCAAATTCTAATTGTGTGACAGCAGCAACTGTGGGAGTTCATTACCTTTAACTTGCATGCAAGATCCAATTCCAATTAAATTATTATAAAATGAAATAATAGCTCTGACTTACATCGCATTCTAGATATGAATACTCCTGAATACAAAATAAACCTCCAGAAAAATCTATTAGTGAATGCACATATTAAATTATATTTAACTTGTATATTTATAAAATGGAATAATATATATTATTATAATAATTATATCCAAACAATTAGTGAAGTGTGGTGATTTCTAATTGTGTGACACTGGCGACTGTTGGACGTAATTACCTTTGTTGTGTAAAAAAAGTTTTTAACTATTTACTTCAGTTAAATACACGGAGAACGATGGATTTCACTCAGTCTGCACTTTATTTTTATACGGCCCTCATTGCACGGTGATCAGCTCTTTTCTGCCTGTGCAGCGTTCATTCCCCCTAACTTATAATAATGGAAAGTTTTCAGGGTCAAAACAAATTAAAGACACTTTGGTTAAATATATATATGTCCTAATTAATCAAAGCTATATTTGTCCGTAAATCTTCTTCAGTCTCACCAATTACATATAGACTACAGGCATGTCTCAAATACAGCAAAAACCTATGTAAGTTTGAATTTTCTGTTTTTGAATTCAGTAAAGAAGCAAAAACAGAAATATTCTTTCCAGAGGTTGCACTCCAGTCAAGTCAGTGCTGTCAAGTAATCCAAAAGGCTGCAGCCAGAGTTGTGATGGAAATTAAAAGAAGTATTTTAGCTTTTCTTCACTGGCTTACTGTTAAAGACAGAATATAATAAAAAATTATCTTTCTCAAATATAGAGCTCTAAATTGATTGTTACTTATGTTTTTACAAAGCAATTTGCTCTCAGTCTGCAGAATTACTAATTACTCCTTAAACTTATAAATGGGATGAAGTATTTTAGCTATTAAACTGGCTTCACACATATGTTCATCCACCGCAAAATGGAGCCATGCAGCAGTCCACACTCCCTATATGTAGGGTCTGCCTCTGCATCACCTCTTATTTTTATATATTTTATATTTATATTTACTTCTACTACTCTGTCTTACATTATGTCTGTCTTTTTCGGTTTTTATCATTTGAGGCATTTTTTTCACATATAGATCCAATTTGTATATCTGTTCTGCAATGGAGCAGAACTGTCACGCTGCAGTAACAGAGGCTGGAGAAATTGCCACACTGACCTAAATGGTTTCTATTTGTGACAGGTTGAGAATGCACATATGAAAGAGTCCATGTGACTAAGGGGTGAGAATCCTCTCCTGTGAAACCAAATTAATTAGTTTGTGATGCACACACTCTTTGTACTTTGAAGAAAGCTCTTAAAATCATCCCTTTTGCAAAATCACATGGTCAAACTGGCTAAGCTTATCCTCAACAATAGATAGTTATGCTACGCTGGGCTTAGGCTGCTGAATGATATGCAACTTTATGTTCTCATTGCTTTTTCTTATCATGGTAGCTAGATCTGACTTGGCGCTCTGTTCAGCTGTAACACCACCCTGGCGGGATGCATAAGCTGAACTGACGCTGTCAACAAGTTTATTTATAGGGGATAAAGTTGTTCCTTTTTCAGTGTCCTCTCTTAGCTGTGAACTGAAATTCATGGTGACTAAGTGTATGTGGTCTCATTATTTTTATTTAAAAATTGGCAGAGAGCTCTTCTTCTTAATGTTACATTCAGACTGAAAATGTCTTGAACATTAGGGATGTGAAGTTACATGCAAACTCTGGATGCATATCAAGGGTCATCTAGATTTCCTACGATGAATACCATGTCTGCCTTTTGCAGCTTGACACAACCGTGCACCTGGCTTCGGTTCATCCAGTGCTGTCAGCATAAACCATTAAAAATGAAGTAGAATATAGATAAGCTACACTCCACAAAGTTTACGTAAAGAGCCTAGAGAATATTGTTTTTTTGTTTTTATTTCATTTTTTCTCGTACAACAGAAGGTGAGAAAGCTCTGTTCACTTCCTGTTTTAACTGCTGAGCTACATTGTGGTGTTGTTCAAGCTATCCCAATCTGTATTAAAGGTATGGTGTAGGATGTTCTTTTTCCACAGGGATTATCACAATAAGTGGTCCTCCTCATTGTAAATCATTCTGGTGACTTACAGTACTGGTTTTCAGTCTGGCATGGTTAAAAATCTTCTTTTGAATGGGCTTGTGCACGCTCTTGCACACATTTAATAGGGGTTCCTTCTCAGGAGCGGGTACAGGGTTGTGCATGTGCATTTTTTTGTTAAAGTAGCGAGGATGGGTCTTTTAAAGGTATAGGTATAGACCTATTTATTATTATTTTTTCTATTAAATCTCTAAGTTACTATAACTGTCCAAAAGCACTTTAAAACATAGCACCTACTGCTTCACGTTTCTACTGAGCACTTGTTGCATTCACACAGTTTTTATTTCTCATAGTGAAAAGTAGCTAGCCTAGGCTAGCACTAGCTTAGCATCGCTATGGCTTAGCCCTCTTTTCCCCCTGACTATTTTCAGATTCTTCCTAAACCTTCATCTCCTCTCTCCTGCTCTCTGTATCGTTCAGTTATTCCTCTGTCTCCTTTAGTGGTAATGGTATGTGTAATAAGTGTAGTATTTTTTGTAGCTTTGGAAGCAAGGATGTCAGAGTTAGAATCCTGGCTTCATGCTGTGGAACATCCAAGATTTAGAGTTGGCCTACTTGTTAACTACCCTGAGCCACCAAGACCAGGGACACCTCCAAGTAGAGGTCCTCCAAAAGTGCCTGAGAAGTCAGCTGATTGGGTAGTGGTACACAGAAAATGTAGTCACATCACATTTCTAACAGATTTTCCCCACTCAGTGACGCACCCACTGAGAAGCCCACTCTGGTGATTGGCAGCTCCATAGTCAGAAACGTGGCATTAGACACACCAGGGACCATAATAAAATGTTTGCCGCAGACCAGATCGAGCGACGTTTATGGTCTGCCCTGATAGCTGATCTAATTGCTCACTTCACTCACCTGCCAAACCCTCCCTGCTCACTAATTATCATTCAACATATCCACCTGCTCCTTCCGCTTTATATGCGATTCAGCCCAGCTATCGGGTTCAGATCATTGTATGTTTGTGTTAATGTTTTTGAGTTTGACTTGTGCATTGGTTCTAGTTTTTTGTTCACAGAGGCCAGTGGTCAGAGAGGGTGTTAGTGTTGTCTTGCCTTGTCCTGATCTTGTCCTGGCTCTTGCCCACTGAGCACTCCCTGTCCTGTTTTGGCTAGGCGAGGGGGAGCTAGTTTAAACTCCAGTAGACCTGGCTCTTATTCACTGAAGTGTGCCTTGTTCCTGTTTCGGCTCAGTAGAGGGAGCCAGTGTAAAGTTCTGCAGTTCTCCTGGTACCATGTCTTGTCTCTGCCTTTAAAGTACTGAGTCCGCCTTTCCCCATCTGAATGTGTCTGCCTGAGCTTGCTGCTGGACTATGGCTCTGTCTGAATGCTGTGTGGATTCCTGGAGCCCTGGTTCTGTCTGATCCTGCTCTGATCGGAACCCCTGACCGAACCCCCTTGCAGGACTAGTTTTTAGGAACAAAACAAAAAGACCAAAAAAAAACCCAACAATTTTTTAAACTATTTTATATTTAAGTGACGTGCCAACATGAATGCAGCTATAAGAATGTCTTTAATAGCCAAGCTAACCAATCTCCTCGCTCAATGGATAGCCACAAGCTGCTAGCCCATCAGCCACACTGATGGGCTCAAGCTCATTCTCCAGGCGGCCACAGGTGACACATCTTACAAACTCCCTGCGAGGTGAACCATCATGAGAAGAATACATGACCAGCAAGCGATGAAGAAAGCCACGAAAGATGAGACGTTGATCAAGGCGAGATTTTTGGATACATTATATTGCTAAAGTGGGACATTTATAATTGGTAATGGGACACTATTTTTTGCAGGAAAACCAGAGTAACAAATGGGCACAAAAAAGTAATTGCATTTGATTTTGCAATCATGCAAAACGTAAACCTTTTCTTTTAAATTTGTGTTTCTGTGTTTGTCTCTCGTCCTCCACCAGGAGGCGCCTGGTTCTGGTTCCGCCTCCTCACACACCTGCTGATGGTTAACTCATTAACGGAGTGTTCTTAAGCTGCTGACTGCCACTACCTCGACGCCGGAGTGTTTGCCAGTTTTGGGTACCTCAGCCAAGCTTAGTTGTGCTGAGGTACCCAACCTGAGTTCTTGTCAACCTGAGTTTTAACATTGTTTTTGTCTTTTGCCTCTCGGCAGGAAGTCATCCTGTAAACTGGATTTTTCTGACCAAACACTGGAACTACAGCGTACAGACTGGAGTCAAAGATTCAACAACTTCTCTGGAAACCTGAGTCAACAACCAAATCCTCTTCTCCAAGTTCACAAATCAAATTTCCCACTGAGCCTGAACTAATTGCTGTGATTCCCCTCACTTTTCAGTTCCGGTTGAACAGTGTTTAGAGCAACACTTCTCTCTGCATTATCTCTTCAATAAAACCTGTTAAACCTTTTCCCCTGGTCTCTCTGAATTGGTTTCCCTTCATGTGGGTCCGAGCCTTTGATAAAATCATGACATGGAGGTGGCACACACATATCATTAATTTCTTTGGCAGAATTCAAATGAACAATTTTGATCTAGAATAATCTAAATTAATTCCAAGATTACAGTGAGATTAATGCAGATAAAAAAAAAAGATCTATGCCCACTACTAGTTTCCAACTTGCACCGACACTTTTCTAAATTTCCCAGCTGTTGGGCATTAAGAAATGTATATTTTGTTAAGTTTTAGACTCCATAGTGAAAAC